AGTTGTTTCGGGCGGATGGTAGGGTTCGGGTGTGGCGCAGACCCCATGAGGCCATGGACCCCAGGTGTCAACAAGGCACCGTGCAGGCTGGTGGTGGTTCCATACTGGTGTGGGGTGTGTTCACGTGGCATGAGTTGGGTCCGCTCGTCCACCTAAACACGTCATTGACCGGTGACCGCTACGTTACACTGCTTGGTGACCATCTGCAGCCCTTCATGGACTTCATGTACCCCCACAACAACGGTATAATCCAGCAGGACAATGCACCGTGTCATCGGGCCGGAGTTGTCCAAAACTGGTTCGAGGAGCATTCTGAAGAGTTCCGACGGATGGTGTGGCCACCACGTTCGCCCGACATGAACCCAATCGAGCATTTATGGGACGTGGTGGAGAGGTCCATTCGCACCCAAAATCCTGCACCTACAAATACCAGGGAGCTGTGGGCGGCTATCCAGGCGGCATGGCTCAACATCTCTCCAGAGATCTTCCGTCCACTTGTGGAATCGATGCCACGTCGAGTTGCTACACTTCGCCGGGCTAGAGAGGGTCCTACACGATACTAGGTACCTATCCCACGACTTTTGGCACTTCAGTGTACAACTTACATGCTATTTGAAATGTTTTTCTAATGTGATTCTATTCAGTGGGATACCTGCACCTTACTAACAACTGATTTATATCTGCACTATAATTACATAAGCCTGCAATAAATACACATCAAGGCCAGTGCGAAAGCAAAAGTGAAAACAGCGTATCTGAAAAACGTATAATTCCTTTGGAGTAGGTCTTCCCATTCTTGTGTCGACCTGCACCTTCACAGATCTGCTACACACTGGAGAAAGTAAAAATTACAAAGCGTATATCATATATAGCGTGAATATTTTATCACTCATCAGAGAGTCTTTCACGTGTCACAAACGAAGAACGGCTCATATCATACATAGAAAGCGATGAATGATCGTATAATGAATAATGCAGTTCAAAAGATGAGAAAGGCAGTGGTCTGAGGCCTAATTTACGGCACTATATCGGCATTTTCCTGGCCTGACGAAAATCCTGTCACGCGAACTGGTATCTCGGCCGAAATTCGAAACCGCCACCTCCCAAATACAAGCCAGAAGAGAAGCGGTACCGCTTGATCCAACGTGCTTGGTACCAAACGAAGTGAAAATGCATACGCGTCGATCCCGACTTACTGACTGATATCTCGAAAGCGACACCCGATAACGTACCTCAGGCCTACAACATTCGAGATATTTCTGACTGGCGGGGACGCAGCATAGGACTTAAACCACTTTGAAAATCCAAGAGTTCCTAAGGGCAAGGTTAAAGGCAATGATGCAAGTCATTTAGAGGTCTAATTAGTAGACCTGGGTGACTGGAAGACTCTTCCAGGCATGGTCCGGGCAGTAGTTAGTGCTCCAAGTGGAGAAATATTTAAGAGAAGCAATTTGACATTTGAAAGCTCTCCTCGTGCTAAACAATGCATCAAGGCATCCTCAAACACCGAGTAAGCCATGTTCTAATATGAAAGTTGTTTATCTGCCTCCAAATATGACCTTACTGCTGTAGTAAATGGACCAGATATTGCATCGGATGAAACATTAATTGCGCAACAGTAGCTACTGGCGCGAAGGATCATCCTGCAATCAAGGTTTTGTACGTTTTAACGAACATACGGTATCCTTGGAATCAAGTCAGAGTCTACAGTGACTGGGGTTTGGATTCAACTACGCTGAATTTCCAAGGAATTCCTGAAGGGTATGAAAGCACCCTTGGGGAAATCACAACAGACGCCGTTCAGGCGGGGAGACAGTTTGACGTAGACATGGATGGGAGCAGATGCGGACGAACTCCTTCCATGCAGAACTAATGTGTAATGACGATCTCCGTGACCTGCAGAGGGCCAACGAGCAATAAAGAGATTAAGATGGCGACGACAAGATGGTTAATCAATTCTGGATGACCTTGGTTCGGCATTCCAAAAATCTGAGGCCCTGAGCATTTTTAGATAAATGGTCTGAATGAGGAAAGAAGTTAAATTATTTCCAGGACCGCTCAAAAGACCACAGCCCCGAACAACCTTCTGCATCAACATATGCAAGGAATCTCAAGTCCCCTGAACAGAGCACTGCGAAGTCTGCATCGGTTAGCTCCCCAAGCGAACTAACCGAGTGACCGCCGCTTGTTGGCGAAGTTAGTGCCAGCTTTAGTGGATAGAGGGTGTCGCGTGGTCACGCAATGAACGGCCGTTAATTTCGATTTTCTAGACCGGAGTCGCTATTTCCTTGAAAAAAAGTTCTTCAATTATCCTCACGAGGCTGAGTGGACTCCGTTCCAGACCTACTACTTCTCAGAAAATCTCGTAGCGCCGGGAATCGAACCCGAGACCTCTGGATATGTAGGCAGAAACTCTGACCACTTGACCACAGAGGCGGCCGTTAGCTCACCAACTCCTGAAAAAAATAACTTACATCGTATGTACTTTTGGATTATTACTGGGAATTTCGAACGTTCCAGTGTAATGTCCAAGATACTGCGCGTCTCTGTGGAAGAATGGAATCAAGACGGCGAGAAAGAAATGCTCAATACATTCTACACCTCGGCAACAGAAATATGCAGGGCTCGAAACACGGCCGCACACTCGCCAAGGACAGGTTAACGGATATCAGTGGCAAGCATGAAAGTATTTATTTGAAACATACTGCTGACTTATTAACAAGCGTATTTTCTTATGTGGTTAGTAGGCACATATTTAAATCGCACTGCTGGGGACCTGGATGAAGATGAGTGGTTATTCCCTGCACCAACTCAACTGATGTTACAATTGTTCCCTTCGTGTTTTTTTTTTGGGGGGGGGGCTTTGTCACACTCAGGAACTGATATTAATACGCTTCAAGAATGCCTTACAATGAAACGTACCACTTACAGGTACAAATAACTGACAGAGTCCGCACTGTTATGATGTGTGACCATTTTATGTAAAATTGAGAGGAATTAATATTAATACTAATAATCCATCTTCATCGCATAAGATAGCCATTCGCACCATCTGCTCTGTAATGTGCCGCTGCAAGAATTCGGACCAATAATGCTAATTTTGTATCTAAGAGAATAAACTATGTTCACATTATTATGTTATAATCCCTAACGTCTAAGAGAACAGTGAGAAGACGATAATTGCCTGATATACATAGTTTGTAATGTGGTCCATGCGATTAAGCTCCAATATCGTTCATTTACTGCGTTCACAAGTTACTGCTACTCAACAGCACAGATTAACTTCCCTGCAGTTCGTTCAATACAGGTCTATAACACCGAAAAATATTAATCGAACAAACAGGGCAATTTAACAGTAAAGGTTCACTTGTATTCGAGATGCGTTCAGTTCGAATTTTGGCTGGGACTATGGTTTCTCTTAATTTTCCTCAGTCCATGCAGGAAAAGGCTGAGACAGTACTGCGAGCTGGTTATGACTACTTCCTTCCAAATTGTTCCAAATTCACTGTTTTCCAATAATCGTGCCATTCGACATTATACATTACAGATACTCAAGGTTTCGTAAAAGAGTCCATAAAAATTAGTGTTCAAGTACGTCAGAGGGCTGAATAGTACTACCTTCAGAGACGTGACCTCTTAAGGCATCTACTGGGATAGCCTTATTAACACTGTTAATGACAGTCACCACATCAGTCACCAAAAGTGCTCATTGTCCTTAATTGGACAGATTGTATGAATCTATCTCAAATAATAAAAATAATAATAAAAAAAAGAGACGTGACCTTCCTAGACGACAGAAGATTACCGACCTTTCTGAGGAACGTACTTCCTCTATTTCCAGAGCAGCAGAATAAGCGAGGACTCTGCTTGGTGCTTGCTTGGCTTACTTTCCGAGCCTAAGATTCAGATTCATATATTGTTGCGAACCATATATTTTTGCAGTCATTGCTTCTGAGAAGTGAAATTGAAGAAAGCAGTCTTCTGGGATTTGGCACCGTGTATATGTGGTGTTAACCGCCGTTTCGGAGGAACGTATCGACTCCGTCTTCAGNATTGAAGTTCTACATAAAGCAGGAGTTGAAAGTTATAGAGTGATACGTATTACACTGAAAATTCGACGGATAGCAATGCAGATCAGTAAAAGCAAACTGATGCTACATTCCATATGGACGAACAAAGACCGCAAAATCTACGGATATAGATGCAGTTCCATATTTACCATGGACGGAAGCAAAATTCAATGTGTTTGCAGATTAATACCGGAAACTTTCTCGCAAAAAGTGTCGAGAGCTGGGGTAGGGGGAAATGGGGACACTGGAAGGATACATGCAGCCGCAATTGTTCCGAGATAATTCTATATCAGAAAATAAATAAAAATGCCGTTTAGATTACGCCCATTGGCTACCAATTTTCAACTCGAATGCCAAAACAAGACAATGGACTGAAAGTACAAAATCATAAAGTCTATAAGACCGTTTTACTTTCGGCAGCATTTGTACTGAAAACTGATTGCAAAATTCACTATAACACTTCAACTGCAAATCGTATTCGAACTTTGATACAAACCTTAATAGAGCCAGCAGGGTCTAGGTTACTAATCTACAACCTGCACCGTATATATTCCAGACGAGGAAACTAAATTTGGTACCAGCTTTTTAGATGAGTTGAAGCCAAGGCAATATTAACGCGAACAAATATTACCAACTGTATAGAATTTTCTATCTAATAAATATTAAGACGATGGGCCGAAATCTACTAATCTGATATCTTATATGAGCTCACAAATTCCACGTAATGCTGCTGTGTACAATTAAACAAAAGTCACTGGTTGTAAACAATTTTCGCTGAAATATTAATGCGAGAGAATGAAAACAAGTTTGATACCATTCATAAATGTCATGGGAATGTTACTTAACAATACAGTATTACTAAGTTCCAAAACAGCTACAAAGGTATTCGGTTATAATTTGCACACTATGCCTACAATTCTGCGTTCTTACCTGTGCCGGGTAGCACCATATGTTTGACCAAACTCTTGGAAATTCGTACCGCTGCGGCAAATTTCTGCAGTATAGCTGCTTCCTTTGGCAAAGAAGAAGGAAAAAATTCCAATTATATACTAAAAAGCCTTCCCAATAAAATATAATTACGACACGATAATATTCTGTATCCAGTTTACTGACGTCCTAAGACTCGCTGTGTGGGCAATGAGCAAATTAATTTGTATTAGAATGAAGCAAATATGGAAACTTGGTATCTAATCAAGTCACATGCACCATATGGTAACCAAGAATTACAATTACACTGCAAGAACACTATCTTATCGAAACGTCATTCTACTTCATTAATCAAAATGAAAATATATCAGTATATCACCAAACTGGTAAGATTTACAAAACCACATGTTAAACTCTGCCCCAACATACAATATAAATTCAAGTGTACAACATTGTTCTTACAATGACAAGTTTTTACTAGATACTATCAGGTCACTGATAAGTCCCTTATAATACGCTGTTAGATAAATCCACACGCATACACCAAGAAACATATGCCGTCAAATGAAATAGTAACTTAAAAAAGAATGTTAATCCACTTTTTGCGGCGAAGTGCAGTATATTTCCACTAAGTGAAACCTGTCGTAAAGCAAAAGAATATTTCTTACCAATCAGACAATAACCTAAAAACAATTCAAAACGAACTCAACACTCCAGAAACCCTTCCCAATCTGTAACTGCTGTCCTCTAGTGTGGACAACGAAGAATGATTCGTACGTCACACCGCTGTAATAAAAGACGAGTGCTTCTCTCTTTTTATGTAACTTCAAAAAGAGACTGGTGCTGCCCCTTACAAGTATACAACTTGACCTACTCTCCCCCGAGTTGGCTGCTCGGATGGAACAGCCCCTAGGTTTTCTCTTGCTCAACCCCAGCAAAGTCTGAACGGGTCTGCTCTCTCACTCCCACTCCCAAACCTTCCTTCGCTTTTGCCTGGCTGGCTGCTGCTTGTTGGAATTGATTCGCCAACCGACGTCCCGACGCTAGAGCCGAGAGAAACCGACGTGGTGCGGCGCTCCGACGAGATCGACCCCCGAACTATACCCCCTTTCATCCCTCTCGCTCTCCCACATCCCTATGTCCAGTCGCCCGGGGTCGACATCACCGTGATCGTCGACACTGCATTTTGGTGTTTTGCGCCCATGTGCAAACCCCTGGCCAAACCCAGGGATTTGCGAACCGGGGACCAAGGTCTCAGTTACAAAACCCTACCCCCACTTCAAAGAGTTCATGGAAATCATAAAAAAATCCACGGGAAATATGGTGGCACCTAACCTCTCTGGATGAAGGGCATCTACCTCTACAATCCACTCCTCCGCTTGCTAGAAATTGACAAAACTGCTCCCTTCACAATAAATCCTTAAACATGGAATCAAGGCATGCCCTTGTAGGGGTTGTAAACCGGAACTTCGGGAATACAAACAGATGCCAAATTCCGAATCACTGATAACACCCTACTACTTTACAACAGTCTGCACGACTAACCAGACGCAAGTTACGTGGCAACGGATTCAATAAGCCATGCCACTAACTCAAATTAATACAGCTTCATTGCACATTAGATCCTAGGTCTGGAGCGATGTAGGTATGGTTTCAAACATCATGTCCTTGAAGGTCAAGAGCATGCTGATAACTTATCAATCGGTAACACACTTCCGGCCTAAGCATTTATACTGCAGTGTACCATATTGATTCATCATAACTTGTAATAGCAGCGGGTATTAACTGAAATAGATTCTTCTGATATTGTATCAACTTCTTTGGTTAAACAAGATCAAACGAAACGGGGTAAGATAACTGAGCCGTCGTGAGAGTGTCATGCCTAGTTCAGCACTGAAGTACAGGAGGAACGTGCTGCCTCCACCTTTGAGGATGAAGAGTAGAGACGGACGAAACCATATTCCTCCAAAACGCTGGTTATTATTATCTACCATATTACACGCTGTCACATCCCGGAAATAAATCAGCTTCGCCCTCAAACTCATGTTCGCTTAATACGTATAAGTTTTAAGAGAATCACAATAAATGCATAGCCTGCAATAATTACGTAATAAATTTTATCATATTCAAAAACAGAAGCCAAATGACCAATTCCACTGGAATTAATGTTGTTAAAGTTCCTCAAGAACGAATTTTCACATCCATACACAAGGGGCCAAAATGCAGGTCTGAATATTAGAAAGCTTTATTTTTGAACTGAGAACGGGATGGCGCAGATGCTAACCGCAGCCATACTGCATTCCTTAACAACGTCTTGTTCGTGTCTAAGAGGATGTCCCCATGGAGAAACTGACACGGTATTGGCAACGAGACTACACTTCTTTATTCAACAAAGGCCTTTCGATATTTTATAGATATTGAAACTGAGAGACATCAAGTATACACAAGAGATAAAAACGAATAGTTTAAAGTCATCTGATTGTATTTACAAACACTACGTCAGACTCTAGATCTCGCGGTTTTCAGAAGCGCGACACGAGCTTCATGAGCATAACTCCGTAGAGCTGGGCCCGTCTTCAGAAGCCGCCAGTTATGCAGCTACTCAAGAATATTCCAGCACTTCATGGAGTCCGAAAGTTCATTACCGTGTAAGATTTAAGGCTTTCACGGCGGTGACTATGAAGAATGCCGTCTTCTGGAATGTGTCGCCGTGTAGATCTTGTGTGAACCGACGTTTCGGAGGAACGTATCGCCTCCATCTTAAGGGTAGAAAAATTTGCGAGAGAGGAACCAGCGTGAGCAGTGACTGCAGCTGGCGGATTTTCCTACCCTGAAGATAGAGGCCATACGTTCCTCCGAAACATCGGTTAACACAAAATCTACACGGCGACACATCCAAGAAGACGGTTTTCTTCATTACGTGTTCACAAGAGCCCTCTGCTGGGCCTTATCCTGTGCTAGACAAATCCAGTCCGAACCATCCCAGCCTATCTCTCCAAGATAAATTTTAATATTGTTGCGTGTTGGCTGTGTGACGCGACAAATAACTTCACAGCGGTATTGGATCTAACGAATTTACTGCACACTTTATTCATACTTACACAATCCACAATTTCAGTGTCCCAATTACTTCTGCTATCGTCGCTTCGAGGCTTCAACTGTCTTCGGCGGCTGCTTATTTCAACTGAACTGTCTGTCAAAGTCAAAGTCACATTGCGACTGACGGTCAGTTTGTCTGCCGGGGTTCATGTCCAGATGTTTCTTTTTAGATTAAAGTTACTGTCCTATCAATGTGGGGCGCCCTCTCTGACGAGAGGTCGGGTCTGTCATTTGTCGGTCATAGTCGATAGTATTAGTCCGTTGTCACTATGTATATTTACTTACGATTGAGTCTTAATATCTAGCAGCCGAAACAAGAGACGCAGTAAGTACATCCCTGGAAGTAAAGGAACGGGGATGCACAGTTAGGCTATTCGGGAAGAACAGCCTTAAGGAGGGAGTAGTATGACGTATAGCACTTCCCACTGTGACGTAACACGGGACATCGCTGTTGACACAGGCAACAGGGAACGGCATAAAAACCGGCTGAGCAGTATGTGACCAGAGACTGTGAGATCAGGAGTGACACAGTGCGGATCGTGAAGTCACCGAGTGCAGCTGAAGTCTAGCAGTCGCCGAGCGCCGGAGAAGCAATTCTGATACTGCCGATGGCAGTAATTGTAACTGTGAATTGTGTGAGTGTGAGTGTGAGAGCGAGTGTTCAATAAATTCGCTACATCCAATACGGCGTGAAGTTATTTGTCGCGTGACATATACCCAACACGTGACAATATATACAAGGCCTCTGTCAGTCTAGGCTCAGTACAGCAGACTATGCCCTATTTCTAGTAGTATTCGCTACCACGGCAGCCTAGACACTTGAACGGTCGTATGTATGACCGCCGCCAAGTTTACGCCTGTTACACTTTCTGTGTCGGGCTTCGCGATAATTCAACTGTACTCGACGACTGCCATATTTAAACTGAACTTGTCTGTCAAAGTCAAAGTCACATTGCGATCGACAGTCAGTCAGTCAATCAGTCAGTCAGTCCGTTTTGGTGTCGAGCCACATCTGAGGCTCATGACCAGATATTTATTACTGTTTGGTATTTACGGTCTTGTCTTTGTAGGGCGCCCTCTCTGACGAGAGGACGGGTGTGCCTTTTGTATATGCTGTTGGCCCTTGCCAGTGCAGTCTTTCTCGGGTCCGAGTCTCTTGGGACGGGCGACCATATTTTACTGTCTCACATTTGAGACTTCCCTTTTCATCGCCTCCTACGACTCGCAGGGTCACGGTGGAGGTATTCGACCCCGCCTCCACACGGGTCAGCAGCAAACTTGTCTGGTGCACTGAACCCCCTTACATAGGTCTCTCGAGGACCACACAGAAAACAGCCCATACTGTTGGACGTGTTTACCGACCGATTGCCTAGCAACGGCCGCTGCACGGACTCCACTGGTGCGTGACGTCACATCCTAGCGGGGAAGGGTGATTACAGAGAGTTGCGTAGTGACGGGATGAGTGGGGATTTGATGTCAGCCGCACTTCCTGTTGCGCTATCCAAGCGTTCAGAGTTGTCGCCTAGCAACGCGCCGATACAATCCGCAGCTCTCCCGTTGCACGCGTGCCCCGAGGCCTCTGTGGCTCAACAGTTCCCGCATAGAGCAAATACGCCACATTGCTCCCTCCTTGAGGCTCCCGTATAGCCTAACGGTGCATCCCCGTTCCTTTTCTTCCCGTTGTTTCCGCGGATTCCTGCTAGCAACATCTGCATTCAGTCTCGCCGTTCTTCGCGTGTCTTCTGGGGTGTTCATTCTACCGCATCTGCCCCCTCCTTGAAGGGTGCTCGTCTCGAGCAGCTCCGTGGTATTTCCAGTAGCTTTCATGTACTCGTCAACTTTCATTCGCTCTCTCGCTCTTCTCGGGGAGGCCGGTGTTTCTACATTACCGGCTTATCATCTGTTTCCCGCTTCTTTTTCGTTTTGAAGGGGGTTGACCCCTCCACAAGGTTCAATCCTTGTTTCTCCGCGTCCTGCTGGAAGCCT